GGTTTCGAACATTTAACCACGACAGCATCAGTGCACACTATATTTTTATTATAGTAACTGTATCTTACTAAGTAGGTCCAAAATCTGAATAAACATCAGATTGAGACTAGGAAGATGTCAAAAAATACTTTTAGGGGCCCCACAACTACAGAACTCCGATTCAGTAAACTGGTGGTGGGTTCGAAATACAGCCTCAGCAGTTGGCCAGGCCTTGAAAACCAGTAGAAGCTGTTTTTCATCCAACTCAAAAATTCTACAGTGAAACAAACTAAAAAACATAGTAAGAATAGAAGACAAAATAATGTCAAATGATAGACTGAAATCTGACAAGGGATAGCACTAAAGCAAAGTACAGCATCAAGTTGATGGGGAAGAAATAGATCTTTGAGCATAGTTTGTGTCTTAAACAGTGCAAAGAGTAAGTAAAGAGCTAGAAAACCGTTTTCCATGCTTTATTGAGTGTTTATTATGAGTTTAGTAAACAACAAAACAAAACAAAGCACTAAATTTCCTAAACTTGAAAGGCATTCAAAGCATATATAAATGGGGGGAAGCAGCTAAAATAGTAGTACAAACTAAGAGTGTTACCACTTATTAGAAATATTTGACAAAAATGTGTTAAAGGATCATAAGGCTTAAGGTCTCTGTAGGAATGCATCTTGGAGGATGAGTCCTAGAAACTATCTGGACATGAGCTTATCACCTATTAAATTGCCAAGTTAAGATTCTGAAATTCCAATACTGTGATACATCTATGAGCCTCATTCATCGATGTAATCATGGCCACACCAAGCCAGTGAGCACCTCTTTTTGTTTCCAGATTCTACGTGACCTGACTGACTGTTGAAAATTACTCGGTGAAAAGAAAAAAAAACTTAGAGGGTGTGTGGAAGAAATGGGTTTAATGGCATGCCAAAATGACTGGGAGCCTCCGCCTGGTAGGGCCAGGCTTGCAGAAGTCATGACGGAGCAGGTTAAGATCATGAGTACAGGGTGTGTTGAAGTGGGGAGTAAAGCCCTGGAGGTGGCTGAAAGGAAGCACCGACCGAGCACCTGAGGAGGGTGAAGTGGCTAAGCTTTGGGCTCTCCCTTCTCTCTCACTGCCAGTCAATTCTGCCTCATAGAACCTCTAAGGGATGGAGTAGAACTGTTTCTGTAGGTTTCTGATGTTGTAAATCGTAAAGACAGCAGAAAGCCTCATCTTTCCCCTGTACAGTGGCTGGTGGCTTCAAACAACCGAACTTGCTGTTAGCAGTATACCACATAACTATTTAAAGACCGCATTTTCTAAATAAAAAACCAGACAAATGGATGGTCTGAAACCAGAAAACAAGACAACCTACGTTAGCATAATGCTGATGTCCTCACACCCACAAAGGCTTTGAAACCCAACTGTGGCAATCAGTGAGGAGTGAGTGTATCCTACGTCTCTCCAGGATCCCTTTCGGAAACCACACCTTCTCCAAAGCAGGGGCTTAGCTTGTTTTCCTTCCATTAATTATTATCTGTGCTCTAAATTATCCCCCAGTTCTCCCTCCACATGCCCACACCATAAAACCTTTTCCCATCTCATTATCACTGAACCTCTGTTGAAAACTGGATGATCAGTTCTCTCTCTGCATGTCCACACCATAAAACCTGTGATTAGGATGATCCACATTGGTAAAGAGAGTGAGAAAATATTTTCAACATTTACCGTTTACATGAGATAAATGCATTGTACTCAAAGCTAAATCCTGCAAAGAAAATACACCAACTTACCTTTCCAGCTACAAAGGGCATATCACCCAAGCATAATCTATAATGTGGCTGTGCAGCAAAATAGTTTCTAGGACCTCTCTAAATGAAAAGGAAAGAAAAATAGTTACTGTTATATTGATAGATGAAAAAAAAATCTAGTTACTCATATGTTGATACATGAACAACCTGAAATCTTGGCTTAATGTTGAGTTACTATGTGCCTTCTATAGACTAACATTAAGGTAATGAGCCCCTAATAATATGTCAATGTGT